GGGTTACTAATATATTTAGAGCTGGAAAGACCTTATAGGTCATCAGGTCTAACCTCCTCATTTTATAGATAATGAAAATGAGACCTAGAGAGATTAAGCGATTTGCCTAGGGTCACACAGCTAGTAATCATATGAGGCATAATTTAAACCCAAATCTCAGACTCCAAGTTTAGCATTCTACCATCTGCAGCTTTGCAGGGAACTCCAAAACAAATCCATTTGAATATGTTTGAGCATCTTATCATACTGGGAAACTCACTAAGAAAGCTTTTCTATTTAAAAGGAAGTGGCAACAAATAGGGCTTTGCTAGGATGAGAAATAGATGACCTTTCCCAATAAGATTAGGATAACACAGGGATATCCATTGTTAGCAGACCCCATTTTTTGATGTCCTCCCACCTACTGCAATAAAAAAAATTAATAAAGAAGTACACGCAGAAGGGAAACAAAATTATTGACTTTTACAGATGATATGACAACTTATTTAGAGGACCCTATAGATTCAACTAAAAATTGATAGAAACAACTTCAGCAAAGTATAAAAATATAAAATAAAACCACACAAAATTTCAAACTTTCTACATGTTACCAACAAAACACAGTAGGAAGAGAAAGAAAGAAATATTCCATTAAAAGTAATTACAGAATTATAAAATATTTGGGAATCCAGCCACAGATAGAGAAATGATATGCCCACAACTACAAAATTACTCTTTACAGAAATAGTATTAAATAAATGGAGAGATATTAATTTATCATTTTTGGGCCATGTCAATATAATAAAAACTAGTAATACTAGTTAAATTAATGTACTTATTCAGAAAATTTGAAGAGACTCTGGAAAGATAGGTATTTTAATGAAGGTGCAAGGTGAAGGTGCAAAACAATTTGGGCCTATAGTAAAAAAAAAAAAAGTAAGTAGAATTCTCATGTCCTTTGATCCAGTTATATCACTACTTGGCTTATGTCCTTAAAGAGATCAAAGAAAGAGTTAAAAGACCCATAAATACAAAAACAACTTCTATTAGCACTTTTTATTGTAGCAAAGAACTAGAAACTTATAGGTTGTATATCAATTGGGGAACAGCTAAGGAAATTATCACATATGCATGTAATAGAATATTATTGCACTATAAGAAACAATACAAAAGATAGCTTCAGAGAAACATGGAAAGACTTTTATGAACTGAAGCTGAGTGAAGTGAGCAGAGCCAAGAAAAAAAATTATAAAATAATTACATCATAAACAAAAGCAATTTTAAAAGACTTAAGATTGATACAATGAGGTCTGACTTCAAAAGACTGATGATGAATCTTAATTCTCATCTCTTGCCAGAGAAGTTAAAGACTACAAGAGCAGAACAAGACATAATTTCACCATTTGCCAGTGTATCGATATGTTTTTCTTAATTATACTTTTACTTGTTATAAGTGAGAGCTCATATTGGGGGTAGAAGAATGGCAGTTATGGAGAAGAGAAAGAAGTAATGATAGTGATGAAAAAAATGAAAAGCAAAAATGAAAGATTTATAAAATACACAGAACAGAACAAGAGTTTAGAAGAAGTCACAGAGAAGCACAATGCTGGAAATATCTTGATAAATTTATCATACATTTTTTAAAACAAGTTATACATAAAAGAGATTCACAGTTTCAGATACCAAACAAAAAAAAAAAACCACAACTAGCCTGTTTCTAAAACAGTACTGTCTACTCCTTCCTTTTATACTTGAGTCAAGAGCTTGTGAAATACTACTTGATTGAAACAAAGCTTTTATCTGCAATAAATCCTCCATTAACTATAAGTATATATAATATTATATAATATATATTACCACAAAGTAAAAAGAATCTATTTTAATAAAAGTCATGAATTCATCCACTTGAGAATTTTCTCTTTTTCTTCACTTCATGCTTATTTGGTGAAGGAAGGAAGGAATTAGGACAATCTTTATAGGCTAAGTGATGAACTTTGTCTTATTTTTAGAATTCTGTATGACCTGAATTTCACCTTCTCTTATAGCCAAAGGGAAGATAAATAAGAAAAACATAATGAATGCTGTGAAGACTCTCCATGGTGAGTGAGAAACTGTTTCATTTCTCGGTGATTATAACATGAATTCTATTATCATTCCAATTTACTGATTCAGCGTTTCTGCCTCATGACCTCCAATTCTTTATGTATAGCCACCTTGAAGGAGGCAATTCACCAGTTTTTGTCACTGTAGAGAACTTCAAACTTCTTGGCCAAAAGTATGTAGATAAGTATGTAGATTAACTGTCTGCTTTGCCAGAATCCATCAGCCTTGTCTAATTTATTTCTTGAAAAATTTGTCAGGGTCCCTTGGACCAGGATTACAAGAACAAATCATATTCCTAGATCTCCCAATGACTCGCCATTTTTGTCCTTAAAGATTGTCACCGTGCCTTTGAAAATTAGTTTGGAAAGCATTTGGAAAGTATTTTATAAATGTGAATTATTTGTATTATCTCACCCTCAAACTAGGAATAATGAATCAAGTTTTGAAATTCTTTGTGTATAGTCTTTATACAATTTGTCCCTCTTTGGCTCAATTCTATATTTTTCTTATTTGTCTCCCCCATTAGGCTGTGAACTCTTTGAGGGCAGGGACAGTGCTTTTGGAGGTAGCAAGGTGGCTCAGTGGATAGAGCACTGAGCCTGGAGTTAGGAAGTTGTTCAGTCATTTCAGTTGTGTCCAACACTTCATGACCCCATGTGAAGTTTTCCTGGCAAAGATACTACAGCAGTTTGCCATTTCCTTCTCCAGCTTACTTTACAGGTGAGGAAATTGAGGCAAACAAAATTAAGTGACTAGTCCAAGGTCACACCACTAGGAAATGTCTGAGGCCAGATTTGAATTCAGGTCTTCCTGGCTCCTGGTCAGGCACTATATCCACTGCATCACCTAGCTACTCAGGTCAGAAGACCTGAGTTGAAATCCGGCCTCAGATACTTACAATGTCTATGACCCTGGGTAAGTCACTTAACCTCCGTTTGCCTTAATCCACTGGAAAAGAAAATGGTAAACCACTCCAGCATTTTTACCAAGAAAACCCCATGGATAGTATGGTCCACAGAGTCATGAAGGGTCAGACAGGACTGAACAACAATAACAATGCTTTTGATTTTCTTCTTACTTCCAGCATTTAGTACAGTGGCTGACACATAATAAGCACTTAAGAAACGCCTGTTGACTTGGCTTGGCTTTGTATTTCCAAGATTTAGTACAAGGCCTAACATATAGTAGGCACTTACTGAATGCTTGATTGATTTATTGGTTATATTCTTCAATTTTCTCCTTTCTGAAGGAGGGAATGTTAACATTAACAACCTGTACAAGGTTCTGGAAAACCTGGGGATCAAGCTCACAGATCAAGAAATTGAGGAGCTATTGAGTCACCTTCCAGTTGATGGTGAGCCTTTCTTATGCCCCTGTGTACCTCTAGGGAACCTTTTTCCTTTCTGTCTGAGAATTTTTGAAAGGATGCTTATTCAGATCACATAAAAGGACATAAATACCTACAGAGAAAGCTCATCATACTGTATGATGAAATATTATCTCTGACTGAACCTTCAAGTCAAGGTTTCCCAGAAGCCACTGAGTAGAACCCAGGAATGGAAGACTCCTTACTCTTTACCGCAGGCCCCACCTGAGCTGCCTGGTGATCCTCCTTAAGGAGAGAAACTCATTGTGACTATGATCAGAGAATCCTAACTAGCCAGATGAAAATTTCTGGTACTAGACTTGGGCTGAAGAAGACCTGAGTTCAAATCCTGCTTTGGACACTTACTGGTATTATCTCAGACAAGTCACTTATTCGTGCTCAATCTCTTTTTCCTCATTTATAAAATAGGGATGGTAATAGAATCTACTTCATAAGGTTGTTCTTGAGGATTCAAATGAGAAAACATGTATACATAAATACATATAAATACATATTACATTGCAACCCTTAATATGTTATGTAAATGCTAGCTATTTTTATTCAAAAAATCCATGTTTTCATTGGTGTGAGTAGAGTGAGCAGACTATAACCCATGTACATCTAAGTATATTCTTTCATTTTTCTTTGGCCAAAAAAAAAAATCATCATGTAGTGGCCAACCTTCTGATAATGATCCCTTGTCTACTTAGACTTATTGTCTTGTACAGGAAACCAATGATGATTTGCTAGCATAGTTTTTAAAAACTTTACCTCACGATGATAATAGAAGACAAGTTACATTCCAAGCTCCTTTAAAAACGACGTGCACTTGAGAAGATTAAACGGAGCTTCTAACTGGGCCTATATTCGTGATCTCAGAAAAAAAAAATGAAGTCTTCAACTCTAAGCCCTTCTGACCAGTTGTTGAGGAATGTGAATCTTCAATATTTCAAGAATCCATGACCTTGTCAATGTAACTATTCTGTCCACCAACACATTTTGCAAACCCTTTCTCATTTCTTGGGCTGCTATTGGGAGTCACTTAGTGACCAGAAACCAAAAGTGAATATTATATCTAAATTAAATTGACACCTGCAAACACACAATGACTGTGGGTGGAGAAATGCAAGCAAATAGATTGTAGAAGCAGAATCAACAAGTCATGGCAATTGATTGGATATGAGGAGGAGGAGGGGAAAGGGAAGATTTGAGAATGATACTCAGAGGATACATACCTACTAATGATTCCTGTAGCACTGAATTCACAGGGCTGTTGTGTGGCTTAAGTGACATTATTTATGTAATGTACTTCATATGTTTTAAAGAGATACATACATTTGACTTATATAGAATAAGCCTGTTCTTTAGTTGAATGCTTCAATTTCTGGGCATTTAACAAGGTCAGTTTACTAACAGGAATTTGTCTCCTAAATAAGCAATACCTTTTTCAACCTGAATAACTTAAATGTCATTTAAATATATTTTTATAATAAAGTTATATGTTTGTTTCCTCATAGACAATATCTTACACTAAACCAATTACCACAAAGCAAATTTGCAAAGATACAAAAAATATTAACCAACTACAAGATTGTGATCAGAACACTGAAAGAAAAAATAGCTCTTCTTTTCCTTTTGTTGTTAAAAAAGAACAAAAAAAGTAGTTTCCTAGTACACAGAGTTATGTTGTGTCCATGCTGGAAAGGGACATAGAGATCACCCTAGTCTAGTACCTTCCTTTCACAGAAGAGGAAGTGGAGATGAGAAGCTAGGAAGGGGCCTAAAATCCTCAATCTTATATGCCAAAATGAAATGTCTGAGTACAAGTTCTTCTGATAGTCAATAGCAAAGAGAAGAGAAGATCCCAGAATGATTCTGTGAGGTAGCTAAGTGGTACAATGGATACAGGGCTAGAGTCAAAGTCAGGAAGACCTGAGTTCAAAGCCTTAGACATATACTATGTGTAATCTAGGCAAGTTATTTAACCTCTCTAAGCCTCAGTTTCCCCATCTGTAAAATGGAGATAATAACAGCACTTGTGTCATGGGGTTCTCATGAAGATAAAATGAGTTAATATTTGAAAAGCACTTTGTAAACCTTAAAGCCTTATGTAAATGCTAATTATTATTATTATTATTATCATCAATATATAGAGAGCTTGCTTCATTCCTCAACTGCCTATTATAAATTAGCCTTTAGAATATATAGGATAAAATTCCAAAGTAATTACCGGAGTTCAGAAAAAAATGCTAAATTTCTCTGGCTTATCTCACATTTCAGAATGTAATATAATACTAGTTTGGTGAGATTCTGCGTCCTTAGGTCTCCATCTAACCTCTGCCTTGTCTTACAGCTGATGGGAAGGTCGCCCTGAATAAAATTATGGATGACGTGAAATCTATTAAAAGTGAGTAAGACATTATGATGAGAAGGCATGTAAAAACAGACATCTCAATGTTTTTCACAGAAATCCATGAAAGGAAGCATGGCATAGTAGTTAAGAGATATAGCCTTAGAGTCAAAAGTCCTGGATTTATGACCTGCCTCTGACACTCACTAGCCGTGTGATTGTGAGACAAGATACTTCCCCTCTCAGGCAGCTTTCTAACGATATATTTTATAAATAATTTTTTTATCTGCATAGACAGAGGTGATCAATTTGTAAACATTTAAGTGCTCACGACATCTGTTCTAGTCACTAGACTTACAAAAACGAAAATAAGGAAATAGTCCCAGCTCAGAAGTTTGCCTTCTCTTGGGAAAGAAAACATGTGTATATGTGAATATATGCAGAATAAATACAACATAATTTGGGAGGTTGGGTCCTAGCAGTGGGGGAGTCAAGAAAGCCTCCTCATAGAAGGCAGAGATTGTGGTTGAAGAAAGAGGGGGACTCTGAGATGGAAGTAAGGAGAACATGGGGGACAGCTAGTACAATGATACAGAGGCAGGAAATGGGAATCCATATGGGAGGGACAGAAAGTAGGCAGGGGAAAGTAATGAGAGAAGAATTTATATGTTTGATCCAAGAAAAATAGGGAACCAGGAGAATTTATTGAGTGATATGGTCAGTAGATCTGCACTTAAAGAGAATCACTTTGGCAGCTCTGTGGAAGATGGATTGGTGGGAAAGAGAATGTTGAACCAGGGAATCAGATTAGGGACCATTATAACATCCCTTCAAGAGAGAGACAGATGATGACTTAAGCTAAGGATGTGGTTGTGTGAATAGAAATAAAAGGGGGTAGATGTGAGAGATGTTGTGGATGGAGAAGTAGCAAGATTTAGCAATTGATTAGATATGGGGTGGTAAGAGTCAGGAGTCCAGGATAACAACTGCAATATTGCCTATTGTGGATGAATGTGTCAAATGATCATCACTCTATTTAAATCCAACTACAAGCTTGCCAAATACTCTCCAGTCTCTTTGTAGCAAGTCTTGAATTTCTTGGAATGAAGTATGTTCATGCTTCACTTTTGCTGCAGTGTTGAGACAGACAAAATTGTAGGACTCCAAGACAGTGGTAAAGTGTAGGATTGCAATATGACCAATAGAAGCTATTGGGATAAAGGAGGCAAAGATAACCAAAACCTACTTTTTAGCTAGACTTATGTAGCTCTGTACCTTGATGGGTCATTGATTTGTCTGTCTTCACCAGACAATTGTCTAATGACCATTTCACATTCCTCAGTACAGGCCTCTTCAATCTAGCAGAGTCCCCTGAACCAGAAGGAAATAATTTCTAACTCCCAGGTAACTTTCTCTTTATGTGTAGGCTCATCTCAAAGGCTTTTCTTTCCTCTTTTTGTTGCAATTGGAGATGATAGGACACAAGAATAGGTGGCATCTTTCACCCTCTAGACTCATTACAGATTCCTCACATTCTCATCTTTTGTAAACAGAAAACATTGATGCTCGAAACCTGGAAAACTTTCTGAAGGACATGAGGATCACACTCACAGAAGATGAATATCAGAATCTCCTGAAACACCTGCCAATTGATGGTGAGTGTTCCATTTTATATTGTGGCCATCAGGGGAACTTGGGTTTGCTTGTGTGAAAATGTCTGATACTTTCTAAAGAAAGATGACTCAGACTACTCCCTAGCCTAGAGTTCTTCAACTTCAGTACAAGCATAAAGAGAAAAGGGAGCAAGTAAAATGAAAAGAAATGAATAGAAAAATAAAAATAAAGGAAGTGGGTGAGGGAAGGTAGAAGAGAGTAGAGTTAAGGGGTGATAAAAAAAATAACTCAGTAATGGAAAGTGATGTTATTTCCACCCAACCCAACTGGGCTTGCATAGGGGCTGGGGATTATGGACCAAAAGAACTGCAGCAGTATAAGAGAAAACAGGAGGAGGGGCAGCTAGGTGGCTCAGTGGATAGAGCACCAGCCCTGAAGTCAGGAGGACCTGAGTTCAAATGCGGCTTCAGACCAAACACTTGACACTTACGAGCTGTGTGACCCTGGGCAAGTCACTTAACCCCAATTGCCTAAAAAAAAGAGAGAGAGAGAAAACAGGAGGCAAAGCTGCTCAGTTTATTTGTCTCAGGGCAGAGGGATACAGGGGTATTCACCATGGGGTGACATTCCACACTCCTCATAAAGTTTCAGTTGTACCCCCAGAAATGTAGGAGACATTTTCCTGTCCTTCATTAGACTCTGAGAAGGCAGGCCTAAACTGCTGCTCTGGCCAATCTAGAAATAATTGGTAAACAGTTTCCTTTAGATTTGGGGATTCACAATATTTCATGTTTGTCTAAACTTTGCCTGGGCTAGTGTTAAAAGGATTCCTCAGATCCCTCCAAAGAGAAAGTGTGGTATCATGGAAAGGAGGACTAGATTGGGAACCAAGGACTGAAGCTTAAATCTCAGCTTTGTTGTTACTCTCCCTGGGCGGGACCCGAAGAATCTTTGTTTCCAAACCACATTGCATAGAGTAAGCATTTAAAAATGGGCACTTATGAGTGAGTGAATGAAAAGTAATGGAGTACTGAAGACACTCAAGGCAGTTAGGTGGTGCAATAAAGTTCTGTGCTCAGGAAGACCTGAGTTCAAATGAGGCCTCAGACATTTACTAGCAATATGACCTTGAGTACGTTACTTAACCTCTCCTAGCCCGAGTTTCTTCATCTGTTGGACTGAGTGGACACTAAGGTCCCTTCCAGCTATGTGTAGGATTCTGTAGCCTTGGAGTCAGAAGATTTGAACTCAAGTCCTGATTCTGACATTTACTCAGTTTCTCCTCTATAAAATGAGACAAACAGTAGCACCACCTACCTCACAATGTCATTGTGTGAAGAACATATGGCAAAGTATTACAGAAATGTAAGATATTACTTGTATTCCATTAAATTCAACTCAACCAACATTTATTAAGCATCTTCTATATGCAAGGCAATGAAGAAGACCACAGAAGCATTTTTAGTGACTCTGTGATAGTGACTGATTATTTGGCAAAGCTGATTATTTTGTCAGATATATTTCTAGACTTATGGACCTGCGGCTACCTTCAAAGTAACAGTATTTATCTGTTTCTCCATTAGAACCTACTAAAAGTAGGAAAGAAAAATTGAACTGAGATTCCTCCATCTCCCTAAGACAAGACCAATAAGCAGAAGATCCTTTATTTTCCCTTCCTTTCCCTGTACCCCAACATATGTCTGTTTCTTTATCTGTCCCTTTTGGAGGAAAATATGTCCCTCCACCATTCAAATCCTAACTTTTTCACCTATGCTTTGACCGTAACCCCCTACTTTCTCTAAGACATTAATGAACTGTATTAATTCATCATATTGAAACCACTCTCCTTTCCTTAATTATAATACTATCTGGAAGAAAAGATTATAAATAACCTTCTAAGGCAAAACAATCCACTAATTTCTCTCTCCCATAGAAAAATTGCCCACTTTCTCTATACTGTTTTTCATCATTGTACTTTGTTTGCCTCGATGCTAAGTTTGTAGATCACTTATCTCAATGTCTAAAGTTTTTGTATCTTATTGCATTTTTTAGACAACAGAAAGGTCAAGAAGAATAAGTTGATGAATTGCCTGAAGGATCTTAAAGGTTAGTGAGAATTTATAAGAAAACACTAAAACCAATTAAGAGTAGTATAGTAGGAAAAAATACTGGGTTTGGAGCCACAGGACCTGGATTCCAGTCTTAGCTTTTCCATTCACAACTTGTGGGACCTTAGGCAAATGACTTATTCTCTCTAGCCTCAGTTTTCTCCTATGTAAAATGAGGGGATTGGATTACTGACCTCTGAAATCCCTACCAGCTCTGAATCTATGAAACTATGAGACCCTGATACTGTACATTAATTAGGCTTGGAGCCAAAAGATCTGGCTTTTACTTCTCTCCTGTCACTAATTATTTGTGTCCCCTTGGGTAAATCTTGTCACCTCTTGACCTCAGCTTTCTCATGTATAGAATGGGGATCAATCAATCAATAAATATTTATTAAGCACTGACTATGTACCAGGCAATGGGGATCCAAATACAAAAATGAGAGAATGTCTGCCCTTCAGAAGTTTTCGTTCTACTAAAAGATTGATAATTATAATAATACTAGCATATTACCTTCTTCACAGGGTTATTGAGTGTCACACATGAGATAACATATGTAAAAGCACTTTATAAACTATAAAGCCGGTCTTTTTATACCAACTCTTTCCCCTTCTTTTCTTTGTTTCTTCTTTCTCTTCTTGCTTCTATGCTGTCTCCAGTCTCTCCCTTGTTATCTACATTCTTCTCCTTCCCCTTTCTTTGTTCAATTTCCTTCTCTTTCCCCTCTCTCTCCACCGTTATCTTTGTCAAGCAAGAATAATTCTATCCTTGACAATTTGTCCTCTTTATCACAAGAATAAATGCTCTATCCTACTTCCACTATGAAAATTAATTAATACCTTCAAAACCTCAAGTATACGACATGTCAAATGAAGTTGTAAAACACTTTAAAGTATGTTATAAAATAAGTTTGGAAATAGAAGTTTGCATTTCCCTAATCCGCCAAACAGTTCTCAAGCCTCATTATTTTTAGTATATGTTTCCAAATCAAGAACTCATACTTCCTAGCAACATGGAATAAAAAACATTCAAAATACAGAGACCTAGCGGAAGAGAATAAAAATCACACAAGAACAGGATAAGGTACATGTGATCCCTGTTGTCCTGTATGCTCCCAAGGATGCTTTCAGTAGACCTACAGATGATTAAACTTAAACTAAAACTTTTTTTCATCTACAAAAAGTAGTTATTTTATCCAACTATGCAAAAGGCCACAGGACATTAAATAGAGAAGAGAAATAGCAGGGTATCGAATTTCCCAACACTTTTTCTATCTTCACCCCATTAAAAAGGTGAGAGCAATGAGATCATAATAACCCTCTCAAAGCCCAACCCATTATCTATGTTGTGAGGTGGGAGAGGGAGGAAAGGAAATGAATGGCAAAATTAGGGAATACCAGCTAAGGTGATGTCTAGCAGAGACATTAAGAGACCTTAAGACTGCTACAGGAACTCTGAATGCTTGGCAGGAACCCTGAAATGCTGATAAGTTGGGCTCTGGCAATACCACTACTTGGCTAAGTACCCTCAGCCAGTATCATTAAATTGTTCCTATAAATCTACAAAATATATGGGACAGCATAGAGTTTTAGGCTGAGTTTACTTGGAACCATCACGATGATTACTTAAACACAAAGGACAGTGGGATGGCACTACATGTTCTGGTGCTGCAAGAAGACAAGATACATCAGAACAAATCATAAATACCAATACCCTACAGTGACTACTAAAACAGGCAAACAACTAGCGTACATGAAATGGACTAAAAATATGATTGCTTCTTTTACGTGCCAGAGCTCCATCATAACAAAATTGGAAACAGATCTTACCAGTTTCTGGCAAAGCCTTTATATTGCTTTTTAACAGCTCTGTATTGCAGATACATTGCAGGGGAATTGAGGGAAGATAGCTTTATTCCAGAACTCAGATTAGATGAAATAACAGCAAAAACTGAGAAGCTACTTAAATCTGAGAAGAGAAAAACTAAAGAACCAGAAAGCACTGAAAAAATCAAAACTTGGGGGCAGTGAGGTGGCACAGTGGATAGAGCTCTGGCCTTGGAGTCACGAGAACCTGAGTTCAAACCTGACCTCAGACACCTGACACCTACTAACTGTGTGACCCTGGGCAAGTCACGTAACCCCAATTGCCTAACCAAAAAAAAAAATGTCAAAACTTAACATAAATTCCGAAAGTTTGCTATCAAGTAATAAAATAGAGAAATTGATGCCATTGTCCTCAAATGATTTTGAAAAGAAGAGATGGACATATTTAGAATTTTGAAAAGCTCTTTTTAAATATTCAAATAGTAGACTAACTACCAAGACTGCAATTCAAATAGGTTAGTATCTGCTGTAACCAACATGAATTTACATTCTCCTATAATATTTGATAGAGAGTATAAAAACATTTCAGGACATGTACACAGCAGTAGTGAGGCAGCTAAGTGGAAAGATGGATAGAACCCTGGGCCTGGAGCCAGGAGAGCTCATCTTCTTGAGTTCAAATCCAGCCTCAGATGCTTACTAGTTGTGTAAGTGGGCAAGTCAATTAACCCCATTTGCCTCAGTTTCCTCACCTACAAAATGAGCTGGAAAAGGAAATGGCAAACCACTCCAGTGTATTTGCCGGGAAAACCCCATGGACTTGGGATAGTGAAGAGTGGGACATAACTGAATGATCAAACAACAACAACAACACAGGAGTATATACCTTTGCCATGATAAGGAGGAAAGGTGGAGCTATCCAAGAACATTCCTAAGGAAAAGCATCAAATGCCCCCATGGCAAAAGCAGCTTGAGAAAACTCTTGAAGACCTGTGGAAAGACATTGGAAGACTACATCGAATATCTGACTTGGTACACACAATAGGTTGTTGGTTGTTGTCCTTTATGCTTAAAGAGGACCAAAATGATATCACTATGTCAGGGTCAAGGCACAGTGTTTCTGACTGTGGCTGATCAAACCAATACAAGCTCAGAAGGCTCTACCACAGGTCAGGCACAAATAGTCCATATGAACATTTGGAGTGGAGATGTCTCCAAATTTGAGTGTCTCGGGTTTCTCTTGAGCTAGTGCAATTCTGCTTTGCTCATAGAGCACAGCACCTTCTTTGATATGGGTATGCCATGTTAGGCTGCCTACCAGACTGAAGGTCTACAGAGCCATTGTGCTAACCATATTGTTGTATGTCTGTGAAACCTGGACAGTATACCAGTGCCATACCAGGAAACTAAATCACTTCCATTTGAATTGTCTTAGGAAGATTCTAATGATCACTTGACAAGATAAGGTACCAGACACTGAGGTCATTTCTCAAGCTGAACTGCCAAGCATTCAAACTCTATTGTAGAGAACACAACTCCAATGGGCTGGCCACACTGTTTAAATGCCAAACATACTGAGAATTCACACAAGGCAGGCATTCACACAAAGGTCAGAAGAAGCAATACAAGGACATTCTCAAGGTCCCACAGTAGAAAACCTGAAATTCATATCATCCCATCAAAAACAACAAAGATGTGACAAACAAAATGTAAATCCAGAAAATAAAGGTAGATCAGGAATTGATACCATTAATACCCTGGATACTCTTAAGGATACAAGGATTCAAAAACAGTGCAAAAAAAAATTCAATAATTCAACCTCAATCAAGAATTATACTATAGAAGCTTGAGAAGCAAAGGAACTAGACAAGAGAGAGAAAGAACCCCTAAAGAAGAAGAAAGTTGTGGAAAATTTATGGTTGAAAGAAGTCCAACACCACAAAAGTACAAGCTGGATAAAATGTTAAACAGAAATCTTGCATGCCATTAGTATAATGAATGATAGAACAGTTACATAAAGGGAGAAGACTAAGAAAGTGGCTGGTCTAGATGAGATCCATAATTATTGGCTCAAGTATTTCACAGTGGTGCATGACTTACTGACAAAGCCTTTACCAGCTTGCTTGCTAATGCAAGCCTGAATCCCATCTTTTTTAACAAAATGAAAATCATATATTTATTGCCAAAAAATGAAAACACTATTGACCCCTCCAAATATGTCAATTATGTATTTATGTACTTTGTATGAAATATTCATCACTTTTATCATTCTAAAAAACTATAAACGCCCCCAAAAAAAGTTAGCTGAGGAGCAAAAAGGGTGTACCAAAAAGTCCCAGAGATGTCAAAAGCAACTCATTATTGATTCAGCGATTATTAAACGTCACCTGAAAACACTGAACCATATACAATACCTTTATTGATTATCATAAAGCCTTCAACTCGATTTAATTTAAGCTTTATTCATGTACTGCAAATATATAAGCTATATCCAAAAATGCTAGAATTTTTTACATCTAAATGGAAACATACCATTAACACAATAATGTCAAGAAGTGTTGATATAAGATGTGGCATCTTCCAGAGAGACAGTTTAAGTCTCTTCCTAACTTTTTAGTCTTCTCACACTTTATAATCCTCCATATAATCTATGATCCAGTGACACTGACCTCTTTGATGTTCCTCAAACAAAACACCCCATCCCTCAATTCTGCATTTTCACTAGCTGTCTACCATGTCTAGAGATACTCTTCCCCCTCATCTCTGCCTCCTGACTTTCCTGACTTCCTTCAAGTCACAGCTAAAATTCCACCTTCTGCAAGAAACCTTCCTCAGTCCCCTTTAAGGCTAATGCCTTCCCTCTGAGGTTACCTCCAATTTATCTTGTCTTTATCTTGTTTGTATATAGTTATTTGCACTGTTGTCTTTACATTAGATTGTGAGCTTCTTAAAGGACTATTTTTGCCTTTCTTTGTATCCTCAGCATTTAGCACAGTTCCTGGTACATAATAAATGCTTAATAAATGCTTGTTACGGACTATTGTTAAGAGACCAATGGTAATCCTGAAGACAAGACAAAGCTTAGATCTAGAGCAATGAATACCTATACCTGTAATATGTATTATTGTGTATTATTAATGTATATTATTAATGTGTATTATTAACACTGTAAAATTGATGATAATAGCCCTGGAAGGTAGCCAAACAAAAACCAATGCAGTGTTAATAAAACAGGAAAGCTTAGCAAAAAGGAGTGAAAAGATTGATAGATGTTCTTAGAGCAAATGATAAACAGGTTAAAAATTTATAGAGATATTTTTGGAACAAACAGACCTCTTTTCATACAGTAATAGTAAAGACTGACAATAGGTATTATGCCACTTGGATTTGCTGAACATAACCGAAAGTGGTTTGTCTCCAAAACAACTAAGAGCAATGAGTAGAACCAAAAGGGCTTTCATGAGCTACATCCATGTGAACTCCACCAGCTTTAAAAAGTCTCATGATGCTTTTCCTTTTCAGTCAGTTAACATAGGCAAGCATAGAAGGTTTTTCACACTTTAATATCATTTGGTTTTTTTTCTTATTCCAGTCTTTTACCATTTTCATTTTTCCTATAGGAGTAAAGGTTGATATCCATGAACTGAAAAATGTCCTGAGGAACCTGGGGATGGATCTTACAGATCAGCAGTTTCAGTTGCTGCTAACAGTTATCCCACTTGATTGTGAGTCAATCATATCCTGTTGTATACCTCCAGGGAGTTCAGTTTTGTAGGGCTGGGTGATGGAACTTGTGAAATTATTCTGCTTTGAGGCCATAGAGATGGTCTGAAATATAGTTTAAAAGACCCATCCTAGACTGAGAAGAAAACATGACTAATCATTTACCTTTAGGTTAAGGACAGAAATCTCCCAGTTTATAAATGCCACCAGCCAAAGTAATCAGTACCCAGGAGTGATACAGGAACCACTCATGGGTTTAAGACACAGGTAAGGAAGAAAAAGGCGGTTGAGGAAGTAGATAGAAAATGGAATTGAAGAGGAAAAGAAAAAAGAGAGAAAGGAAAGGTCCATTTAGAGGAAGTTAAATAAGGACACCAATATAAACCATACATAGGTTGCTTGGTTTGGTTTTGCTTCTGTTATCATATAATGTAATAACAAAGTCCTACTCTGAAGCATCATCATGACATGGAGTGAAAAATGAGCCCCAAATAATAACGAAAAATGGAATTGATTCTATTCAAAACATGTAGGAATGACTTGTTACTATATTGTCAGACCTAATTTCTCAGTGCCTGAGCTGTAGTAGTACATATTCTGACAGGTTCTACTCTGGGAAGGTTTTCCATACAGTTTCAATGTACAGTGTCTACTTTCCAAGGACCAGGCTAGCCAAGTACAAAGAGGCTGTACAGAGAGTCCCATCAGTAGGCTGGCCAACTTGGTGAAGAATTCTGTGGCCATGGCAACTCATGAAACAAAGAAATATACAAAATGGGTCTCAGTTATCCATTGATCACTGTGCTTCTATAGTGAGAGAGGAAGAATGACAAAGAAATGGGCAGAGGATACTAAAAATCATTCTTTTCAGACCTTCTATAAACACCAACTTAGCTACTGGTACTCTAAATATGATTCTTATCCAGCAACCAACAAGTGGACAGTCAGCTGGAGAAAATGAATCCTATTTACTTCTTACTCCTTGGCCATCTTCTCATCCCCTCTGGGACCTGAGATCAATTCATAAAACACCAAAAAAAAAAAAAAAAACAGCGGAGAAACAAGTTGGTTTAATGAAGCTTGGCAATGGGGATAGCTAGTGGATAGAGCACTGGCCCTGGAGTCAGGTGGACCTGAGTTCAAATGTGGCCTCAGACACATAACACTCACTAGCTGTGTGAACTCTGGGTAAGTCACTTAACCCCACTGCCTCACCAAAAAAAAAAAAATGAAGATTGGCAAGCAACCGTAATAAGCAAAGTCATCTCAAAAGCATTTAAAGATTAAAATGGAAGGACGACAAACAAGTAAAAACTAGAGAAGAGCTGCAAAGGTTTTTTTAAACTATTCTCCATCAAGGAGAGTGAAGCCACCACATTTGGACTCTAACATCACAGTCACAAATATATTTATATAGGAAGTGAAATTGGCACTGAAGAGAACAAAAATGGGGAAAGACCAAGAATGAAATTGAGTACAATGGAATGAAAAAAGTATCTATTAAGAGCTTACTATGCGCTAAGCTTTATTGGAAGTACTGAGGATACAAACAGAAAACTAAGAGTCCCTGCTCTCTTACATTCTATAATGGAGGAAAGAACGCATAAAAGAAGAGTCATGTTATATTTATGTTCATTTCATGACATGCCAAAGAGTATTGAGATTCTGGGAGATAAAGTGTCAGGACAAGTGGCAAGGTCCCAAGAACTTTGTAGAAAAATGGCAGGTCAGATAATCCCAACCAAAAGGAGATTTTGCAAGGGAAAATACAATTTGGGGGATTTCATGGGATTGTCGTTCAAGGTTTCTGAAGGAGGGGGAAAGTGTAGGGAAGACCTCAGACCTTACTACATTTCAAACTGGATGTCCCTTAGCCATATCAAATTCAATATTTCCAAAACACAAATCATTATCCTTTTTCCCAAACCCACCACTCTTTTGAACTTCCCCATTTTTACTAAAGATGTCCCTATCCTTCCAAGGAGGTGATTCACAACCTCAGAGTTATCCTTGACTCCTCCTTCTCCTTTACGCCACATATCCAATCAATTGATAAATTGATACATCTTGCCATTTCTATTTCCATAGGCAATCAATAAATATTAAGCACTTCCTATAAGTGTAGCACTATGCTAAAAGTTATCTCATATCTAGCCCTTCTCTTTCAGTCAGTCAACACTCTAATTCAGGCCCTCATCATCTCTTGTCTAAACTATTGGCAATACCCTCTTATTTGGTCCCTTCCTAATCCATCCTCCACACAGCTGCTGTAGTTGTTTTCTTAAAGCACAGGGCTGATCATGTTATTCATCTCAATAAGCTCCAATAAATCCAATAAATAAATAAAAGTGTCTCTAGGATCAAATTGGATTTTTCCATTTGACTTTTAGACTTATTCACAATCTGGTCTTCCTACACTCTATGGTCTGGTCAAATCAGTCTTGCCAATATTAACACACAATGTTCCATCTTCTGTCTCCTTATTTTTGCTCTGTCTGTACCCCATAACTGGAATGTGCTTCCTCCTCACCTCCACCTGCTAGAATTCTGTTTCCCTCAAAGCCCAGTTCAGGTACCACTTTCTCTGTGAAGTTTCTCCTGTCACACATACACCCCAGCTATTAGTCCCTTCACCCCCCCAAACTCTCTTTTATTGTGGGTATATCTAGCTCTTTTTCTTCCAGTATAGCATCCAGTCCTTCCCTTCCCATGCCCCAACTCTCATTGTCCAGTTCCTGCCAGGTGATGGACACTCCCTCCTGACTATATACTGACCCTGACCCTGCCCCTATTAGCCCCACACCTGCCAGAGGTAGCAAAACTCTGCTCTATTCCAACCCTTAGGTCCACTATACCCCTTTCCCAGCAATCATTGGTCAAGGGATATGGTTGCTCACACCGCTTGAATGAGCAGGGAATTACAAATTACAATCCTCCCTATAAGATGATAGCCTACTGGGTCTTACCAACCTACTCTACCAATATGACTTCTGAACCCTTGAGTGTTGCCATCTGATCTCATGTTGTACCCTAAGGATTCCTGGGCATTGTCACTTACCTTTCCATTACTCTCAAAGGACCGTCAGGTCTGCCTGCAACTAAACACTCTTATATGTTTTCTCTCCTAATTAGAATGTGACCTCCTTGAGAGTAAAGTCTGTATTGATTTTTTATTTGTATCCACAGTAGGGGCAGCTAGGTGGCTCAGTAGATAGAGCACTGGCCCTGGAGTCAGGAGGACCTAAGTTCAAATCTGTCCTCAGACACTTGAACACTTACTAGCTGTGTGACCCCAGGCAAGTCACTTAACCCCATTGCCTAGCAAAAAGTAAATAAATAAATATTTGTATCCATAGTTCTTGGCACACAGTGGGTGTTTAACAAATTCTTTTATTATGCCATTCCATCTAGCACAAGCATAATGGTACCATGGTGCCACCAAACATTTTCCATATTGATATGAAAATACATTCAAACCACATATTTGTTCACTGATATGTTTGCATGACCACAAGAGGAAAAAAGACCGATTATGCCTTTTGATGCATTATATATTGTGCCTGCATATTATGCAGATGAGCTAAGAAGAATTGCTAGGGAATAATAGAAGAGCCCTGGACTTGGGGTCTAAAGCCCTGTATTCTAGACCTAGCTCTGATACTAACTCACTGTGTGACCTGGGCCAAGTCACTCTACCTCTCCTTTGTAAAAGGTAGGGGATTAGATTTGATGATTTCCATGATCCCTTAAGCTCTGACATTTAGACTGTACTTTAGAAAGCATAAACTCTTAGCCAACAGGCTGGTTCAGAATTTCAGCAAGAATATATTAACAAGTAGGTGCTCTTATTCCTTGGCCAACAGAATAAGGGCCACTAGGACATTTCTGGCCACCTTCCCTGGAGCTGAAATACTGAAGAATGTTGTTTTGAGTGTTAGATCTGCCTCTAACATGCTTCTCCCCATTGGCTGCCTTTGGTCTTTCTTTCATTTGAAACAGAGTGAATGAAAATAGATAGAAATAACATTTGAAAATTCCTCTTTTTAGTTTTCCATTCCTCTGTGCAGATAACATATAATTTTAAGACAAATCAGAGAAAATAGCTGTTTATGCTAATTTTCATAGTTTTATGCCTTTTTTTACATTTTTATTTTTTTTTCTCAATTACATGTAAAAAAATTTTTAACATTCGGGTTTTATTTGAGATCCACATTCTCTCCCTTCCTCCCTATTCCTCCCCTCTCCTTGAGAATACAAGTAATTTGATATAGATTGTGCATGTGCATTCATGTAAAACATTTCCATATTAGCCATGTTGCAAAAGAAAATACAGACCAAAAAAAAAAAGAAAAAAAGTTTTAAAAGCATGCTTCAATCTGCATTCAGGCTCCATCAGTTCTTCCTCTGGAGGTAGAAAGCACTTTTCATCATAAGTCCTTCAGAACTGTCTTGAATCATTGTGTTTGAGAATAGATAAGTCATTCATAGTTGATCATCATACAGTATTGCTGTTACTGTGTACAGTGTTCTCCTGGTTCTGCTCATTTCACTTTGCATCAGTTCATGTAAGTCTTCCCAGGTTTTCCTGAAAGCAACCTGTTCATCATTTCTCATAGCACAATAGTATTCTGTATATGCTATTTTTAAAATTATCTTGCTTATCACTGCTTCTAAGTCTTATCTTGTCCTTGACTTACAGATGATGGGAAAGTGGATCTAAACAAATTGATAGAATTTTCAAAGGCCATTAAAGGTAAGCAATGTGAGCAATAAGCAATATGAGAAGATGTTGTTGAACTGAGAGTTTGGAATCTCACACTTATTCTGAAAAAACCTCATTGCTTTTTCATATACTTGATTTCTTGGTCCTATTCCCTAAGCTATCTATTGAGGAGATCACTAAATTCTAATTATTAGCTGGGTTTTCTCCATGTGACTCTGAATTTTGGCAAATAAGTTAATATTTTTTTTGTTGAAAGTTTCATCCTCTGAGCTTTTTTAAAACAAAAAAAAATTGCCCATGGTAACATACAAACAGCTCAATTCTAAGTCAAATAAGTGAAAAAGCTAGCAGTTATTGCTTCAGTCCTACACTCTTTAGGCATCTTGGGTGCTTGTCTCAGGGATATTGGGGCAGCCTGCAAACACATAAATAGCTGAGTGGAGGGTTGTGTATGTCTAGATAGAAAGATAAAAACAAGGTGGAGGCAAGATCAGAGGTGGTGATGATTGATTTTAAGTTGTTTTTCTACACATCTGTGAAACTGTCCCAAACCAACAGAATAGCATGGGGCAATTTCATCCAGGTCATTCAGTGAATCTACTATTTCTTCAGTATGGTCACTTCCTCCACTGACACAAATCATAATTTCCAAGCATCCTTATCTTGCACAGTTATAATTTCCCCATTAATCCACTATAGGTGATCTATCCAATGGGCTACAGTCTTCCTGCTTTTATTTATTTATTTTTTAGTGTCTTAAAAATACCAAGATAGTACTTAGGCTGGCCCATCTGTTGTCTCTCACTCTTACTACCTCAGCATCCCGTGGGTTTTTTTTTTATTTCCTCCCCCAATCATATTTATCCTCAGTGCTGTTTCTTAGGCCATATCTTGCACACAAGTCATAGTTATTAACATGTAACATGCTATAACAGCGTATATATATCTACCATGAGACTTTAGATTGACCTTTATTTGGTTTTTTTAACTTTAATTTTTCTGAGATTGTATTCTATGATTTACAGACATATAGTACTTCTTTCCTTCCTCCTCATTCCCTCCTATCCTTCTTTATTTTTCTTCATTTTTATTTTTTTCTTCATTTTTATTCTTCTCTTCCTGGACCTTAGAATTGTAATTGCTATCTATGGTCATTGCTTAGCCTTACTAATAGCTAAAAAGATGGCTGACTTTTGTGATAGAGGAATTTGAATTGGAAAATCAAGCAAATAAGCAAATATTAAGTGCCTCCTATGTACCAGGCATTGTGCTAGGTGCTGGATGCAAAAATATCCCAAAAACCATCCCTACTCTCAGGGAACTTATATAGTCTATTAAGAGAAACACAACATACATATATAAATATAAAATGTATACTAGGTAGTTAGGGAGGGAAGCTTTGCTCTACCAAATATCAGGAAAGACTTCATGTAGAGGAAAGTTGTGTTTGAACTACATCTTTAAAGAAGAGAGGTATTACATGATTTGAAAGTGAAGAAGAAGGACAGTCCAAGCATGAAGTACAGCCAGAGAAAAAAGGGGGAAAAAAAAGCTGTATGAAGAATAGAGAGAAGATCAGTTTGGACTAGAATGTAGATTCAAGTAATATAGAGTGGGGCTGGAGAGGATGGGTCCAGTTTGTGAAAGGCATTAAAAATCTGAGTTTATATGTTTTATCCCAGAGGCAAGAGTAAGGCACTAGAGTTTATAAGAAATAGTAGGGGAGAGATGTTGTCAGGGTTGAGCTGTTGAGCTCAAGGAAAATCACTTTGAAAGCTGAGTATACAAGCCGAATTAGATTTCTAAGATACCATGTTGTGAATGTAAAATTGACACTAGTCACTTCTATTAATTCCTCTCTTTAAACCCACCTTCCCAAGAGACACTATGTACTTACCAATTCAGAAGGATTTTGGTTTGTTTTGCTTGTTCTAGACAGGGCCTCTGAAGACTTCCTGGCTACATGCTAGGATTTCAAATGTTTCCCTCACATACAGAGACTTTTAGAAACAACAGGTTTCCAGTTTTTAATTGTCAGAAATATCAGCAGCAATATTCACTTATACCTGGAAGTCACCAACACCTAGAGTTGGTATTCTTTCCTCTACAATTTATTACGAGTCAATCTTCCATTCCTTCTCTTTCCAGTCATCGTAGCTTAACCAGTTAATGAAATTTTCCTTCTACACCATTCATCCTGACTTGGAGGGATTAAAGAGGTCAGGAGATGGGAATAGAATGGCTAGTTATGAACTGCTTTTAACTCAAATAATTGTCAACAAGCAAATTTGTTCATGGAAAGTTTAAGAAAAAGTTTTTCCCTTCTCATAGGTCCTGTTTAAAATTTCTGACCAGTTCTAAAATTCTAAGATTTCACCATTCTTCACCTCTGCCATACATAAACACACACATACACACACACACACACACACACACACACACACACACACACCCCCCACTTCTTCAGGAGTATTGCTTTACTGGGCAAGCCACTCTGAAAAACCTGGAGCTCTGAGATTGCGAGGATACTCTGCTTCACTCTCTCCATGAGAATGAGCAGTGAGGTCACAGTTGTATGATGGAACAAACCTCTTATTGGGTTCTTGATCATTTGCTGATCAAGGCCCAGAGATGGTGAGTGGCATAGTTTAAATTTGTTATTTAAACTTCAGAACTCAGTAGGATTCTATGCCAAGATCCCAGTTTTGATTTGCCACCTGTCACTTTTGCATGGGGGTAAAAAGTCAAAACTAATGCTGATATTGAATAATGGGATAGATTTTATAGTGTCACGGTTTGGGGGCCCCTGTTGGACTTTCTGGCTAGGTAATAAGTTCCCCACCCAAAGTAACAACTTTCAGGAACTACTGCTTTCTAGTCTCTGGACCGGGCACCTTCAGGAGAAATCAAATAGAGCTGCTTTTCTGTTTCTGTTTTTGTTCTGACTGCACTATTTAGCAATTGATCTTCCATTCTTCCTCCTCATCAGCAACTTTGCCAGAGACGTTGTCTGTTCTCTGAAACTGCCTTCTTTTGGAAGATAATTTAGAACATGAAAATCAAGCATATAAACAAAAGAAAAGCCCCTACCAACACAGTCCCTGAAACCCCCAAAGTCTGACAATCAGACATTACCCATAAGGGGAGTAGGGAAATGGGGGGGGGCACGAATAGCCTTGGGTTCTATTCAGGAAGAGTCTGACTTAAATGGGCCATCATTCTGCTCCTAGCCTCACACTGGGCAACAAAGGACAGAACATCAGTGATGCCTATAGAAGGTGGCAAAGTAAGGACAGGACACCCAGGCTGAGAGCACAAGGGACAGTGAAAACACTGTAGAAAAAAAAACTACACATAGCAGAGCTTAGGCACCCCAAGGCATCTGCAGGATAGAAATAAATATTACAAACTTCCTTCTGTTTGGTTGTGATATTAGACTGTTCCCTGGATGTGGCAAGTTTTATTTCTAAGTTACTGACTTTCCCTCAGAGCCTGCCTGGCTCGACTTCCTGAGGTTATACTGTTGAAAATGAGGAGGTGGAGTAACAACAGATATTGCCCCATCCCTTAAAGCTCTCTAGAGGTGCTAAGGAGGCAGTGTCTCCTTTACCCACCCTGGCACAGGTGATGGCCCAATCATACTTTGAAAACATTTCCTTAATTTTATTCCTCCCTCTGAGTCCACGTTATAATAGTGTAGAGGCAGCTAGGTGATATGGTGGATAGAGTGCTGGACTTGGAGTCAAGAAGACTTGAGTTCAAATACAGCCTCAGGCACCTAATTAGCTACATGACTCTGCAAGTCACTTCACTTCTGTCTGCCTCGGTTTCCTCATCTATAAAATGGGGATAATAATCTACTTGACAGGGTCATTGTTGAGGATAAAATGAGATCATATTTGTGAAGTGCTTTACAAACCTTAAAGCATCATATAAATGCTAGTTGTTATGTTATGGTACCTAAAGTTCTGTTATGCTCTCTGGAAAGCCTTGAGCTGGGTATGGTGCAGGGGTGCACAAAGGAATAAACCTATGAACAGATCACTTAGTTCCATTTTCTACATTCCAGACGGAGTCACCAGCCAAATGTCGGCTTCTTCCGATTCTAAGCTAAAATATAAGCTGAAACCCTTGACAAAAATTCCATCGTCTCACATCAGGTGGGTGATTAAAAGACAAAAAGTCAGAATGAAAAGCAGTTAGAATAGAGGTCCTTCACCTTTTTTGTATCCTGGACCCCTTTGGCATTCTGGTGAGGCCTATGGACCCCTTCTCAGAATAAGGTTTTGAGATGCTTGAAATAAAATACATAACATTATGAAGGACACCATTTACACTGAAATATAGTTATAAAAATTTTTTTTCTTTTAAGTTCATGGATCCCAAACTAAGAAAAGACTATTACCGTTAAGTGATATCATTGGACCTCTGAGCTCTCATGTCACATTTTTGCCCACGATGCCAAATGCTTCTAGTCCATATGAGTGTACACATACCCCTTTACAACCTCCCCCCTTTACCTGCTGGAGGAATAATGTTTGTGGAGTCAGAAAAAATCATTGCTCTGGCTGAGTGACCTTTAGTAAGCCATTTTCATTGTTGAGCATTCCTTCTCTTATCTGAAAATAGGAGTTGGGACTAGATAACGCTGTAATTGCAGGAGTAGTCCTGAATAATCTCAGCTGTGCTAGGCAGAAAGGAGAAAAGGAAAGTAGGAAAAGGCTTCCCCTTTGCTTAGCAGCAAAGAGGACAAGGAAATCAGTTGAAAATGACCTTTCCTGCAAGTTTTCCTAGGTACTTTATCTGTCTGTCTCTTTGGCCTTAATAAGCATTTATTAAACACCTACTATGTATGAGGTACTTGGCTAGATTCTTCTGGATAGGGGATACAAATATATTATCACATTCTCTCTTGTATTATGCTTACTGGTTACATCATACCCATAGTGAACAGTCAGTTACTTGAGGCCAGGAACCATATGCTTTTTTATCTTTGCATCCCTAGTGCCAAGCATGGAGTGTTGCACACAGTAGGCATTTAATAAGTATTTGTTGAATGTATTTGAATCAGTTTAGTATATAGCACATTGTTCCCTCAACTGATCCTACTCCTCCAGTAGGATAGCTTCCCTTGATCCTTCCTCTCTTCATTGCTCAAAGTTACTGGTCCTGTTCTCTGGAGCTACTTACTTCCAGAAAAAATAAATAATTTTCATTTTTATTTTGGAAGATGTTCAAGAACCCAGATGAGTCAGAGTCAGAACTTTGCTATCAGAAAACAATACATCTGCTTTTCTGTATAAATAGGATAGAATGTGAAGGCCTTCTTTAACTTCCCTAAATTTTTTTTTAAAAATTGAATTATGAATTTATATAATGAAGGGGAAAATATTTAAGAGAACTTTTATTCACAAAAATATTTTTAAATTTGTAATAGAAAGAGAATTATGTTAACCATAGGCTATCCCCCCTTCCTAGAACATAATCCATTCTCATCATGGCCCACTAAAATCTTTCTCTTCCTTCCAGATTCAGATGTATAACTATAGTAATCACTATATATGAATAACGCTTTTGACAGATATCCCTCACTACAACTAATATCAACTTTTGAGACTCTATATTTATCTCCATCTATAAGGTCAGGAGGCATCATGGGATAGTGGAAAGAGAGCTAGATTTGGAGACAGAGAGAACCAATGTCTCTGCAACTTCTTGCCTATAACAACTTGGAGAGGATACTCCCTGGGCATCAGTTTCCTCTCCTCTAAAATAAGGAAACTGGACTTAATAACCTTTGAGGTCCCTTCCAATTAGAAATTGATGACCCTATTCAAAAACTTTACTATGAAGTAGGACAAATTTTGTTTTCTGCAGTTGGTGTGATTCAAAATCTAAGAATCAAAGGCAAAAGTATGAGATACTGCTATTACATCTGACTGAACTACAATGCAAGTAGCAAGGATCTAATTTTGGAAAGTTACTTTTGGGTGAAACAAGGATGCAGAAGTGGATTTTACATTCTTAAGATTTAGAATTATTCAACAATGAAGGAAGAGGATATGTTTAAGAATAAGCTGGCTGGACAGCCATCAAGGAGATTATAGAGGGGAACCCTGCATTGAGTGGAAGCTATTAGTGCTCTCTAATTTCCCAAATTCTCTTTAATTTACTTATCTATGTACATGTTATATCCCATGGTAGAATATAAGTTCCTTGAGGGCAAGAACTGTTTTTTCCTTTTTGTTTTTATGCTCCCAAAGCCTAATACAAGGCCTTGCACAAAATAAAGCATTTAATAAATACTTAATAAACTGAATTGAACTCAGTTAAACTCCACTGAATTAAGATCGTACTAGATAACTTGTAAGAACTGTTCCTTCCAATTCTGAGAGTCTACAATTCTGTAAGCAGTGCAGAGCACAAGATATCTTCAGAAGCCTGGGATTCTGGCAAGCAACCACAATCCTACAACAGGGGGCCTTTGCATCACACACTCTCTTGGCTGCTTATGATTCTTCCTATCTTCTGTTGCATGGGGAATAAATTGGTATATGTTTCAAATTAAGTCACAAATCAAGAAATAAACTATTACTTAGAAAATATGGGAAGCTTTTCCCAGGCAAAATTTCAGTCCATTAAATTGGTCAAATTGAAACAAAAGAAGTTAAGAGGGTGAAAGAGAGGAGGAAAAAGCTGATTTGGCAAAGGTATTTAATGAGTTTGGGATGAACGGGGCAGAAGGGTGGTTAGTTCCTATTCTTTTTTCCTCCACTCTATTTCTGAGACATTTTGCTCCTTTGTAACACTGTGGAAGACACAAGTCCAGAAAACATTATAATTCTGTTTTACTTTTCTGATAATAGTTTCTACTGTTAAGTTTTTACCAAGTCATCATACTCTCCTTCAGTCCTTCAACTGATCTGTGATCTCATTGGCCTGGATACTCCTTCCAGTGTTGATGGAAACTTAATTCTTGTCCATATCCTTCTATCAATTATCCATAGAGGATCTACCCAACACACTGTTACTGGCCCACCTCCTTTTCCAGTCAAACATGTCCTTAATGACGTCTTTGAGAGCCCTTCTCAACCTCAAAGGTCACGTCTTATTATAAGCTGTACCTTAAGCTCACCGCCATGTCCATTGCCATTAAGGTTGCTTGCTATTATGACTCTTCTGATATCATTCCATGTTCCATGGAATCCAAACCATAGAATCCCAGAACTAAAGATAAAGTATCTGGGCCTGAGGATCTCAAGTGTTGGAGAACCCACCCTGTTCCAAGGCAGCCCATTTCCACTTTTAGATAGTTCTCATGATTAGGGAATTTTTCTAGATGTCAAGCCTAAATTTGACCCTTTGCAACCAACTCCCACGCACTCTTCTAGTTCTTCCTTCTGATCCCAAAAAGAACAAGTTATGTAACTACTTTGGGCCTTAGCTTCTTCATTTACAAAATAAAAAGATGGGCATCCGATTGGCAACTTTAACAAAAAAAAATGAGAATTGTTGGAGATGCTGTGGGAAAGCAAGCACATTACTATAATGTTGGTAGAGCTTTGAATTGGTCCAGATGTTCTGGGAAGCAATTTTGAATTACGCCCCAAAAGTTACTAAACTATGCCTTCCTTTTGATTCAGCAACACCCCTACTAGCCTTGTACTCAGACTAGAGATCAAAGAAAGAATAGAAGGACCCATATGTAGAAAATATTTATAGTGCTTTTTTAAGTGGCAAAAAGCTGGAAACTAAGGGCAATGCCAATCAGTTGAGGGATGACTGACCAATTAAGATATATGAATGTAATGGAAAACTATTGTGTCATAAGAAATGACAAAAGAGACAGTTTCTTTCTTTTTTTTTTTTTAGGCAATTGGGGTTAAGTGACTTGCCCAGGGTCACACAGCTAGTGTCAAGTGTTTGGTCTGAGGCCGGATTTGAACTCAGGTCCTCCTGACTTCAGGGCCAGTGCTCTATCCACTGCGACACCTAGCTGCCCCCAAAAGAGACAGTTTCAAAGAAACCTGGGAAGACTTGCATAAACTGATATGGACTAAAGTGAGCGGAGTCAGGAGATGATGTAATGACAACATTGTAATGACAGCTTTGAAAGACTTAAAAAGTCCGATAAATTCTATAACTAACCACTATAAAGCAATGAACATACAATCAAAATTGGTTATTATGTTGGTTGGTTTTGCTGAATTGCTTTTTTTTTCCTCTTGTTATTCTTGGTTAAAAGGGATGGCTTGCTGAGTAGGGAAGGAGTATATTTGGAAATGAAGGTATTATTAAAAATTCAATAAAAGTTATTAAAAGTCAACTTATTTAGTAAATTTGTAAATATTATCAATATTTTAATTCAATATTAAAAACTCTAAATTCTATGGATATTATCAGTGTGAGTACTCTCTCACCAATAATGATGATTACAAGCCATCTATACCATCTCATCCTGTGCCATTCTTGTCCATGTCTTATAAATCCTACACAAGGTACTCACTCAACATGCTAAAGCATTCCTCTATATCTCTTGATGTTGTGTGGATATACAAGTAGAAAACACAAGCTATCCATTAGTTATCCCCTGCTTTAAAAGAATGAATGAATAAGGACTTATTAAGTACCTATTATGCGCTAGGCATGGAAGAAAAAAATAAAAAGATACTTCCTGTCCTCAAGGAGCTTATATTCTGACGGGGGATACAATACATAGGAGAATGGGGTCCAGGGAAGGAAGTTTTGGTCAGAGAAGCCACAGAGATTTTGCATAAAGCTATAGATCCCTTTCTAGTAGCAATGGTTTGATAATTGTCCCCATGGTATGAGTAAGAGCAAGAGGTACAAAGTTGGAGGTGGAAGGAGTGAGGATACCCACAGATGACAAGATGCCTGTGCTGGGTGGGCCCTAGTTTATTAATGGCTGGACTGGAGAGGATGTGAAACTTGATCTGGGGCCAGCTTTTACTCAGTTGTTGTTTAATTGTTTCAGTAGTGTCTAATTCTTCATGACCCCATTTGAGGTTTTCTTGGCAAAGATACTGGAGTGGTTTGCCATTTCCTTCTCCAACTCATTTTATAGATAATGAACTGAGGCAACCAGGGTTAAGTGACTTGCCAAGGGTCACACAAGCTAGTAAGTATCTGAGGCCAGATTTGAACTTACAAAGATGAGTCTTTCTGACTTCAAGTCCAGCAATCTATCCACTGTGCCACTTAGCTGCCCCTTTCACTCAATCACCCTACCTCTGGTCAGGAAAAATCATCCTCTAGGGATGAATGCCAAAATAGATTCACTAAGAAGGTATAGTTGGAGGGTAAGGTGGAGGAAGGGGTAGGGGAGTATTTCTGGAGGGCTAAGTTTCTCCTAGTGAGGAGGAGAGGCAGAAGCAAGGCAGATGGCAAGTTGCCTACAGGGTGGGCTCTTTGCTGGTTTGGCTGAATAGAATATGAAACATAGTCTTGGGCCTGCTATTTAATAGTGGGCTATAATATACATTTATATATATATATGTGTGTACACACACACATTCATGCACACACACACAAAAGGGGAGGGGTGGCCTAGGTGAGTTTTCAGTTTTCAGTAACTCACTCACTAATCAGGAGAGACTAGATTTTTACCTTTTCAGGGTATATGTTTCTCAGATAATATCCTTTTATATTGTATTATTTTATATTATAATATCCTTTAGACCATTTTACTTTTGAAGTTCTTTCTTGGAGATATGCTACAGTTTCATCCACCATATATCTCCCATTCACTCATGTATCCAGTAAGCATTTACTGGTACTGCCCTATGGGTATTCTGAAACTTTAATTCCGTAAAAACTGTGATATTACAGACTTTATTACTATACAGCACCATGAGAAGAATCAATATAGCTTAATTAGTTACCAGTGTATTTAAAAAAATAAGCATTTATTGAAGGGAGGAGCATGGGGGTCTTTATAAACACTGAACAATTTTCCAAAAGTCATCTGACCTAATCCCCCCCCCATTTAATTCTGGCCCAGTTCATTGCTTTGTGGTATCTCTTCAAGTTAATTGCACTGTTGTACCAGCTCCCTAGGCTATCTATCCAAGTGCATGTCATAATTGAATAATAGGCATTCTTCACCCACTTGGATTTTCCTGGTGAATGTCTTAGATGTGAAGCATGATCTGGGCCCAGCTAGTATGGGTTTAAGGGACCTTTCACTTACCAAATAGGATAGCTCAGCCCCAGACCAAATTATTTTGAATGATTTTGAATCTAATTTAAGAGGCTCTGTAGCATTCTGGGATTTGATGGAATCTCCCCCATTGGACTGTGAGCTCCTCGAGAGCAGAGACTGTCTTTTGCCTTTCTTTGTATCCCCAGCACTCAGCACAGTGTCTGGCATTTGGAAAGTGCTTAATAAATGTTTATTGAGTGACTGGAACATTTAAAGGATTTTATTATCTCTAGAATCTCTTTTTGATTAGGACTTTACGCTAAATGTACAGTAACAAGTACCTCACTCACTGGCTCAGAGAGTCAGAAAATGAAATTATCATTAACATTTCTCAAGGATTCTTTTTTGATTTTTGACATATACATGAGAAGCTGCTGGCTAGAGGAGAGCATTGTGCTATATAACCATATTTTCCAATATATTTTTCATTCTCATCTCCTATGCCCACCTTTGCATAAAAGACATCTAGTATTCAGGTATATGTTGATTTAATTTGGAGGATCTGGTAGAGTTCTTAGCTGGATTGCTCTGCTTCCTCATTCTCTTCAATGTCTATGCTGTAATTATCATCTCATTGATCTTCTTGAAAATGCTCATTATGGGCTTGGCAATATGAGATTACCAAATGTCCAATGAAATTAGGTTTTGTTGCTTTTAGGCACATTATGTTCCTAGCTGCTTCCAAGCTTCCAAAGCATGGCTCAGCTTCAATCTACTCTAGTTAATATTCATGAGCTTCCAATCACTCTGAATTTTTCTCCTTCCCAGATCAATTGTCATTGAATTACTGACTTCACATCTTACACACACATACAAAGCACATAAGAATTACTTAAAACATAAAATTGTGACATCAAGAGGCATCCAATAATAGCTCACATAAAACATTGCCATCATCTTCACATCTATTCTAAATGTGCTTCCTGAAGCCCCCGCCTCAGAAGCTGGATTCTGATCTCTTTATACTCCTCATGATGCTTCTGTGCAGTGGGAGAAGAAAATAGATAGTGTTGGTGCCTCTTCATTAATTCCTCAGTTTCCCAACATTGTGAGAGGAAGAAATAGTTTATTCACTCACAGAGAGTAGTTGAGAACCTTGGATTCTTGGAGTACATTGACTCTCTCGGCACTTTAAAAACTTTTAATGCTCATAATGTCTGGCCCTACTATGTTCGCTCCCAGACAATCTGTACCTCCACAACATTACTATCAGGGATTAGACGATCATAGATTTAGGGCTACAAAGGATCTTAGAGATCACTGAGTTTAACTCCGTGGTTTTACAAATGAGGAAACTGAGGCATTGAGAGGTTAAGTGATTTGCTCAAGGTCACACAAATTGTAAGAGTCTGAGATTGGATTTGAACTTAGGTCTTTCTCACTTCAAATCCAACTCTCTACTCACTATATCAATATTTGACTGCTTGCTATAGGTAAATACCTTATTGTCTTCAAACTGGAGGAAAAGAGAGATTCAAGGAAGATGTCTTGAAGCTGCTATCTCTCCCCCTCTTCTGTTTTCTTACCAGTGCCCTTTTCTGCCTCCTCTTCCATTAGCTATCTTGTCTCTTGCCACCCCAAGGAGGTCCAAAAGCATCACGGGACATATAATTCAGACCATTTTCCTACAGTATCTTCTGACCCCAAAACATCATAAAAATATGACAGACCAAATCTCTAAAGAGACATTACACATTAGTTCTGGGGACACAAAGGCAAAAACAGTCCCTGACCTCAAGGAACTTATATTCATATGCAGACAACATGTAAATACCTAGGTACATACAAGATATATGCAGAAAAGATATAAGGGGGATGGGAGAAGGGGTGAGGAAAGAAGACAATAGCACCTAGGGACCCTGAGAAAGTGAAACTTGAGCTAAAGATTGAAGAAAGCCAGGGAAAGTAAGAGCTAAAAGGGAGGAGGAAGAGCATTCTGGGAAAGAGGGGCAGCCATCCTCAGAAGAAGACTGCAGTATGCTATGTGTGTGCGTATGGATGGATGGATGGATGGCTGGATGGATAGATGGATGGGTGGATGGATGGATGGATGGATGCATATGTAGCAGAGTCCTCTGAAAGTGGACTGTTATAGAAAGAGAAAAAAGTTATGATTTAGGGTGATGACTCTAGAATAATTTATTTTGTTTATATTTGAGCAACAAGCCACATTAGCTAAATTCCAGACCCCAGTACTATGGGTTTAAATTGTCCAGCACAGGGACTTAAAGCCACAGTTGTAGGCTTAGTGCCCTCTGGTGGCCAGAGAAGGCTATCTATACATTCAGCTTTCTACTGGTAGGAGGTTCAGGGGAATGTAATATCTGCATAATTCACATATTATATTCCCTCATTGGATAATTAATGGAATGACCCGCTGTAATCCTCTAGGCCTAAGGATAACTGCAAATCTGAATTTATTACATTGCAGTGTCATGACTGCAGATGTCACACATGGAGTACCAAGTTACAATTATGTTACCACAAATGCACCACTAGAAACTTTTATTCATTGTTAAGATAGTGTCAGGAAGGGGCTCTGGATTTGAAGTCAAGAGACCTTGGTTCATATTCTGGCAGTGATTGCATAGGAATTTTCATCATTTGTCTTGTCACTCCACATTCAGCAATAAGAATCTGCCCTGATAAAGTTCTAAGGGGATGACATCTCAAGACTTGCTTATATTTTCTCTATCTAAACTTATCAAAAATCTCTTGAGACAAGCAAGAACATATTCTATGTGGTATTCTAGCTGCACTCATTATTTTCTAAGATCTATGGAACTGAACCAAAGTAGGTTCCTGCCACCATAAGAAAATTCATATGGCCCACTCAGCCACTAAAATGTAGTCCGTATGGCCACATGAGATCCAGAGAGCAGATATGCTGGTGGGGCATCACCATATTGATCAGCTATAAAAGTGTCCCTCCCATTGCTACAATACAGCAATGAAAATTTGCTCCCCTAGAGTCATCTGGCAGTGATATTTAATTATGCCTACTTCCTAGAGGCTTACTAGAGCTAGAATATAAAAACAACAACAATTCTTCTCTGGCCATAATCACTACTGAAGTAGAGTCACATGGTATTGCTACAACTACCAGCATCACACAGAAACCCATTCACAAGAAGACAACACTCCTTTCCCCTACTAGTTAAAATATTATGCTGATACATTTTAGAGCTGGAAGGGACCTTAGAGACCGTCTAGTCCAACTTCCCATTTTAGAGATGAGTGACTGAGGCCCAGTGACTTAATGACTTAACTTAAATGACTTGCCCACGGTCACGGTCAGGTATCAAGTGACAAGAGTAAGAATTTGAATTTGTCTCCTCTGACACTCGATCAAGCCTCCTTTCCACTGTAACAAACTTCCTTCTTAGATAAATGGGGAGGGACATTACCCACATCTGCCAACAGCATCTAGTGACATCATTGCCTCTGAGTTCCTCAATCTTTCACATTTTTCAAAGTTATCATGTGATTTTAGGGAGAGCACAATGCACAGCGTGGTGTTCATGGCAATAAAGTTTCCCCCTTTTTGAAGGCCTCCTATCCTTTCTTGTTTCTGTCATTGATACAACATGGACCTCCCTAAAGTTGGAAACATCAGTTTGGGGTTGAATGCAGCCAAGGTTGAACCTGTGGCCAGGCACCTGTCTGTTTGTTGTCTCCCTTCCCATCCTGTGCAGGCAACTGACTTGGATAATCTGACTCTGGAAAAAACTACTAATGCTTAATGGTTTCTCTCATTCCCATAAACTAAACTGGTAAGTGAAACTAACATCCTCTAGTTTCTAGTTTGTTTTTAATCTTTCACCATATTTCAACACAGGGGTAAAGATTTCCAAGGCTTTCTTCAGGACCATGGTAAACACAAAGAGCGATTAACTCAAGGACAACTAGAAGGTAATGTAATTAGAGTTTAATCATCCCCAAAAATGAGGTCCTTAAAACATTTGCTATTTTTCCAAGAAATATTCTAGAATTTTTAGGGTGCATCTATACTACTCTATCATTGATGTCAAAAATAGAATATTTTCCTATTTTTAGACAAATCAGTAACAGGGGAGTGATGTAACAGACCTATGGCTGGAGACTTGATAAGTAGTTTAATCCGATTAGATAAAAGAATAGTACAAAATAAGTGCAAATCAACAATCCTCTCAGTTCATCTCATCCCTACTGGGCTAGAGCTTCACTATTACTTGCCTTCTGCTTCAAGGTTAAAATAAACACAACGTTCGGATGTTTAAACAAACTTCCTGACTCTTATGGCACAGGGAAGAGGATGGATTTGAGTCACTCACATAGTCTATGTTGTCTCGGGGCTAGATTTCTTGTTTGTTGCTCTTAATTCTGGTAGAAATGTATATGCTACTCCCTGCTGCCTCTCAGAGGTACTGGTTTAGCTGGAGAGTACCCCACTTTCTCTGCTGCTCATACCTGATGGAGTCTTTGTTAGGAACACAGGAATTATCTTCACCCGAGGCAGAGGTAGGCCAGAACATAAAGAGAATCCTTCACTGTGGTCACCATTCTGCCATATTTTTGTGTATGATCTTCACCTCGAAAATCTTGTGCCCAGGTATCTATGAGACCCTGTAAAAATCTTTAGAATTTACATATTCAATCATGCTAGGGAATGGAGTCCATAAGGAAAACAGGTTTATTACATGAGAAGAAAACAAAAGAAATAAAATAGAATATCCCATTAGGTATATCAGTATTTCAAAAGACCCATGATTTTACACTGTAAATACTCCCTCCATTGGTAGACTACAATCCATCTACACTTTCATAAATGATCTTTAAGAATTATTGTAGGGGCAGGGCAGCTAGGCGGCACAGTGGATATATCGACCAGCGACCCTGGATTCAGGAGGACCTGAGTTCAAATCTAGCCTCAGAAATACATAACACTACTAGCTGTGTGACTCTGGGCAAGTCACTTAACCCCAATTGCCTCACATAAAAATAAATAAATAAATAAGAATTATTGTAGAAAAAATGTCATCACCTAGTGGCCGTCTTGTCGATGAGTCCCTTTGACTTTGAGGATAGACTAGCCTTATACTCAAAGCCTTTGCAATTCAGTAGCCCTGCTACCAGCAGCTAGGTGGCGCCATAGTGCACAGAGCAAAGGGCCTGGAGTCAGGAAGGCTCATCTTCCAGAGTTCAAATCTGGCCTCAGACACTTACTAGCTGTGTGATCCTGGGCAAGTCACTTCACCCTGTTTGCCTCAGTTTCCTCATCTGTAAAATGAGCTAGAGAAGGACACGGCAAACCACTCCAGTATTTTTGCCAAGAAAAACTAATGAGGTCATGAATAATCAGACACAACTGAACGACAAAACTAAAGGCCCAAGGCATTCCTTGGCCTAGCCTTAAGGTACCCTGGACTACCTTTATTCCATGACAAGGAATCATAAAAGTACTAACTCTAAAATATTTATATATGTATGTATATATGTGTATATATGTATATGTGTATATATGTGTGTGTATATATACATATATAAAATTTCTAAAAGAAGGATAGATGTATGGAGCAAATGCTAACCAATGAAATCAAGTGAGATGGTAGTATAAATATATGTGAAGTCCTAGCTTCTGTCTTAGAGAACAAGCAGATCATAAAACTGTTTCAGACTGGAGGCAATGTTTCTTTTTTGTTTGTTTGTTTCGTTGTTTTTTCGTTTTTGTTTTTTTTTTAGGCAATTGGGGTTAAGTGACTTGCCTAGGGTCACACAGCTAGTGTCAAGTGTTTGTTCTGAGCCTGATAGAGGCAGTGTTTCTGAGAGGAATATGGTACATCATTTAAATGTAAAGTCATCATTATCTTTAAAGCATATGAATGTGGCCATAAACCAGGAGTATGAATTTAAATCAAGGTTGAGCTTAAATAAACACTTGAGTGTAACTGAAACATCTGTTTCCAGGAAGGTTTGGACAATATTATCATCTACTATTGTTCCTATTATGCAATTTGAGAAAATATATAGGGGCTGGTTTTAGTTTGAACAAGTTATCTAGGTACTTCTTTTAGTGGTGGGTGGGAATTGGGAGTGAGATGGACATTTGATTCACTTTACTCAAAAAGAAAAAAACAAAACTGGTGTTTGGTTTGGTTTTTCAGCCAGGGATTGCAGTTCATTCCAATTTTCAGTTCACGATTCAGTTCAAATCTCTGGGAAGGACATTTTGTCCTCTTCCTATTAATGGGTTTTCTTCAACACTTCAGAACATAATTTCCAACCAGCTGTGGTTATATTGTCTGACTTAATTACATTAGGATCAGCTGAGACCTTTGACTTTAAAAAGCATACAATGTCCTTTTTGCTTGATTATATGCCCAGTCCAACTAATTGCTGGATTGATTCCATGTCTGTAGCATTCCTGGATGCCTTTAAGAGCTTTGAGAAGGATGAAACTGGCTGCATTGATTCACAGGGATTACAGTCCTCTGCAGCTAAATTGGGGATTGAGCTAACGAACCAAGAAATCCAGGATGAACTTGAATTTGCTGATATTGACAGTAAGTACTTAAACTTCTAGTTATACTTCTTGATAAAACCTTCTCATGTGTTTTTTTGCCTCCTCCGAGTGCCTAAATTGGTTAGTGGTAGTGGTAGTGGTGGTGGTGGTGGTGGTGGTTACAATAATAAGCTCATTTCAAGCCTAGGGACAATAAAATGTCCCCTTCTGCTCCACGTGGTTCCCTCCTCCTCCTGCTTCAAGAACTTTATAGCAAATTAAAATCAGGAGTACAACCACATTTGTTTTGAGCCCCCAATGAGAAAAATTCCCAACATTTAAGCGGAAGTTTGACTCTGTGTGTGTATTATGTGTGTGTGCGCATGTGTGTGTATATGTATATGTACATTATAAATGTACTATAAAATTATATATTATATACTAATACATTATAAATGTTATGTATATTTATGTATTATATATATGGATATACACACACACAAACAAGAACAAGTCTAATCTTCTATGACAGCACTTTAAATATTTAAAAACTGCTATCATATCATATCCTTCCTAAGTCATCTCTTTTCTAGGCTGAAAATATCCCCATTTTCTTCACTTTATCTTATTTGAGATGGCTTCTATTCTGTTTACTGTCTTGGTGATCCTCCTTTGAGTATAATCCAGTTTGCCAATGTTCCTTCTAAAATGTGGCTAATAATAATAATAGCATTTATATAGCACCTACTATGTACCAGAAGTTTTTTTTAAAAAATCTCATTTGATCCTTACAACAACCCTTGGAGGTAGGTGCTATTATTATCATCTCCATTTTACAGTTGAGGAAACTGAGATAAACAGGTTAAGTGGCTTCCCTAAGATCATACAGCTAGTTAGTAGCTGATACTTAATTTGAACTCAGGTCTTCCTGACTCCAGGTCCAGCACTCCACCTAGTATCCTAGAACTGAACATAGTCTGACTAAAAGAATACTGCATATCACCTCCCTTTCTCTGGACAGTTCTATGGAAGTTGCTAAATAGCACAATGGACAGAGTATTGGACTTGGAAGTCAGGAAGACCTGGATTCAAGTCCTATCTCAGGCACATTAGCACATTATAACCCTGGGCCAAGTGACTTGTCCTCCCTTAGCCTCTTTTTCCTCATCTATAAAATTAGAATAACAATAACACCAGCCTCATAGCATTGTTAGGAGGCTCAAATGAGATAATACACATAAATTGCTTTGCAAACCTTAAAGTGTACATAAATGTGAGTTATTACAGTCCTCTATTAATGCAGCATGAAACCACGTTGCCTTTTTTTTTTTCAGTTCAACAAACATTTCACAAGCACCTGCCCTCTGCTAAGTGGTGTGCCACGTGCTGCCATGTCACAATGTTGACTCATATTTGAGTTTGCAGTTTACTAGTCCCCTAAGAGATTTGGTCCTGCTCTATCTCCCCCAACCCTGTACCTGTACATTTTAAAAGATACAGGAATTCATCTCTGTTAAATTTTATAAAGAAGAAACTAGGAGCATGGGTTGAGCACACGGAGGGTTCCATCTTTCGACTCTGGGGTAGGTTGGAGACAGGAGGGAGAGGCGGGGGGGGGGGGGGGGGGAGGCAGAGGAGAGGGAGGGAGGAAAGAGAGACCAGTTCCGGTTCCGGTTCCGGTGTTCCTTCAAGTTCCTGCAGCAGCGATGCCCAAAGGAGGAAGAAAAGGAGGCCACGAGGCCGAGCGAGGCAATACACAAGCCCCGAAGAGATTGATGCCCAACTTCAAGGTGAAAAACAGAAGATGCAGGAAGAAGAAGGACTTGGTGATGGGGCAGCTGGTGACCCCAAAAAGGAAAAGAAATCCTGAGATTCAGATGAAAGTGATGAAGATGATGATGACTACCAGCAAAAGCACAGAGGATTGGAAGGGTTAATACACATAGAGAATCCCGACCCAATAAGCCAGATAACGGAAAAAAGTCACTCAGCTGGATCTGGATGGGCCAAAGGAGCTGTCCAGAAGAGAATAGGAAGAAATAGAAAAATAGAGAGCAAAAGGACGATACATGAAAATGCATTTAGCTGGTGAAACAAGAAGCCAAAGCAGATCTGGCCCGGCTAGCTATCATCCGGAAACAGAGGGAAGAAACAGCCAGAAAGAAGGAAGAAGAAAGGAAAGCAAAAGGTGATGCAACTGTGTCAGGAAAACGAATGCAGTCCCTCTCTCTGAATAAATAAACAGTGCCTGTGGGAGGAGGAAATGCCAGGGAAGTGTGCCCAGAGCCTGCCAGGATTTCTGCGGTATTGCATCCCACACTAGTGCCACCTGGAGTGTACTGTGGCATCCCCCTCCTCCTCGAGGAGCCACAGAGGGCGTGGATCCTCGTCATCAAGGCACAGAATTCCATTTTGGGGCAGGGGAGGGGGGCAGTTGCTATCTTTGGTGCAGAAATAATGCAGAAAAGCATTTCTGTGAATAACAGTTTGAAAAGTCTGGATATTCTCGCTGCTTTTAGGATTCAGAACATATAGCAGGGGGAAGGGGTTGGTGGGATGGGGGAGGGTAGGAAAAACTTCAACCTGTAGATTACATGGGGTGTGTAGGTTTGGGTGGGGTGGGGGTGACCCATAGGAAGATCTTAATGAAAATCCTGGGTCTGGATTGACAGAGCACTCATCTGCACGTTTTCTCATGAAATCTCTGCAGTCTGAGTGTAGTAATAAATGTCTGGGAGCCCATTCTCATGTGTGTTCTTGGAGGGGTAGCCCTTGTTCATTTCATCCCTCTCTTCTCATTTTTTTCCTCCCCTCCAACTAGGTCTAGTGTCCATTTTTAACCATATCTTCTGTTCAAAGAAAAACCATTTATTGGTAAAGGCCTAGGCAAAACATGCTCAAGAAATTAAACTTGTATATTTGGCTGATTAAAATATAAATTATCATAAAAAAAAAAGGAGAAACTGAGACAAGAATTAAGGAACTTAACCAAGGTTATAAGGAAAGAAGGAAGAGAGGGAGGAAAAGTTTATTTATTAAGCACCTGCTATGTGCCAGAACTGTACTAAGCACTTTATAATTATTATTTCATTTGATCCTCCCAAGAACACTGGAAGGGTAGGTGCAATTATTACTTTCTTTTTAGAATTGAGGAAACTGAGACAAACAGAGGTTAAGTGATTTGCTCAAGGTCACATGGCTAGAAAGTGCCTGAGGCCATATTTGAACTCAGTTCTTCCTGACTCCTGGCCCAATACTCTGTATACTCTATGCACTTTGTATATGCATGATAAGAGCTGAGACCAAAAAACTCATGTTATGTTTGGTCCAAGTCTAATACTCAAAACAGCCAATCATACTGTTGAGTTTAAAATTCTTTGTATGCTTTTGCTAATCCCCAGATTTCTATTGCAGGAGACGGAAAGCTGAATTTTTCAGACTTTCTCACTGTTTTAACAGAAGATGATCGCTTTATCCAGGCTGTTGGTGAGTGAAAGTGCTACTAAACCAATGACAGCTGACAATAGACACTAAAATTGTACTGAGACTCATTTAGAATCAGTCTGGGCTGGGATACTTTTGCCACTGCAATGGTATCTACAAAACAATTTGCTATGCAAATTAAGTTAAGTATGAGTCATCCAACTGACCCTGTCATAGGAATTAGTATTGGAGAAGTATGAGTCTGCAGCCCCAAACCCTAGTACCTGAGTTAGGCAACTGTCCCTTGGTATTATTTGACCTGAAGAGGTGTCTTCCCTTATGCTGATTGCCACCCCCCTCAAAAAAAAAAGAGCAAAGCTTTCTCTTTTGCAAATGTAGAGGACAGAAAATTATCCACCTCCCAAACTGATGCTACAGCAGCTGTTAAGACCAGTCCTTCTCCACCCCCATTCCAACATGTTCTCAGAGAAATTAATTTTTCCACAGTTGAAAGATGGTTTAGTTTAAATGGTGGTTAAGTGTAGTTGAAATAGTTCTGTTGGTACCACAAATACCTTTTAAGTCAAATAAGCTTTTAGGGAGTGATGACTTGGGAACCTAAAAATAAGTTTGAGGTTGTTTCTAAGATAATGAGTGTCCCCGTTCCAAATTGGTGACCTACAAATGAACACATCTGAAAATGAAGGGATCTTGTTAACCTAACTGATTCAGAAGATGGAGTCTGCCTGCAGTATAAACAGGAAACATTTCAAGTACTATTTTAACAGCTTCATTTACACTCCAACAACAGACACTTGGACACATTAATCACAAATGATTCTTCTTTTTGTTGAAGCAATATGACATTCCTTGAGATACGTAGTTTAGTGTCTATCTTCTCTGTCCTTGTCAGTATCAATATTTACCTGGAAATTGGAGACAGTGATAGAACTGTATTTCATTTTTTAAAAAAATGTTACTGATGCCATTTATGTTTTTTCACATACCAACCACTTCCCTTTTACCCATGACCTTTCTCAACTGTCCCTTATAACAAAGAATAACAGTCAAGCAAACCCAATCAATAAAACATCTGAATTTATCCTCCTATGCCACATTCAGCACTTGTAGTCAGTCATATGGCCTCTGGATTCAGTAATGGTCACTGCACTTATTGAGTTTAATTGCCTTTTCATGTGGTTTTTATTTACAGTTTTTAAGTCGTGTATATCATTCTCCTAGTTTGCCTTCATTCTGCATTGATGTTTTATATTAAACATCATTAAAGATGTTATAAATTAAATTAAAAGATGTTTTATTAAAGATATTTTATAAAACAGTATAGTTTTGCTAGGTCAAGTGAAACTTCTCTCCAATTAGAGAAAATGCTCAATGTGATCCTTTTTAATCACTTCCATTCATATTAATGAATGAGTCACTTGGTTGCAGTTGCAGATAGAACCCCAGAACCACAAAACATCAGAGCAGTCTCCAGAGGATCTCAGAAATCACCTAGTCCAACCATTTCATTTTACAAAGGAGGAAAATAGAATTCAGAGGTGGGAAGTGATTTGCCCAAAATCACATGGGTAATAAGAATAAGTAAGGTGCATCCAGGGCTCTTTCTGCTAAATTTCATTGCCTCCTATGTTTACTGCAAATAATTTCTTCCCTAAATGAAAGTGTTGAAATCATTCAAGGTAAATGGTTAATAAAGAATGCACTTTGAAGTCTTTCTGTTCTCCTCAGTCCCAGAAACTGACTCCAACTCAGATCTTGTTGATTCTACGGGAATCCTGCTTTTTGAAATGCTGTCAAAGCTGGTGGAAACTTCAGCACTGCCCAGGAAATGTATGGTAGACATAGTATGGTGAGTTCCCAGGAGGAAAAAATTTCACTCTTGGAAAAAATTCTTGAAGTAACACAGAGACAAAACTACCACTTCCTTATAAACACAGGGCACAGCAGAAGGTGACATCAAATATAGAGGAAAAGGCACCTGGAAAATGCACAAATGCATGTTATTTCATCTTCCCTCTCTATCTCTGCAAGTCAAACTAGACCAATCTGGTTATAACCCAATGAATCCAAGGGAATAGAGGTGGGATGGGAGTGGGGCAAGTTAGAGGGTAAATATTTTAGGAAGATGAATCTGGTGGTTAAAGGAAGAGTCCGCATAGTATACTGGATAGAGACCCAACTCTCTTGGAGTTGAGAAGAGCTGAGTTCAAATCCCTCTTCTAACAAATACTGACAGTGTGAACCTGAACAAATCAGTTAACTTCTAACTACCTCCAGGAAACTCTCTAAAACCACAAGTTACAAAGCAAGTAACAATCAGTACTGACAGAGGGAATTCCCTCAGCAGTAGTTCCCTGTGCCAACAGGATAACAGATCCAAAAAAATTTTTAATCTGGTAGCAATGTATAATCTACAGGCAGAAACTGGAGACATCCAAACCAATTAAGTGGCATTGGAGTTAAGCCCTTAAAAGCACCTAGAGAGTCTTTGGGTTGGAGGTGAGGAGAAAGTGGGGATAGTCTGAGCATAGTCTGAGCATAGTTATGGAGGTGAGAGATGAAGTGTTATGTACACAGGACAGCAAGCAAAGCCAGTTTGGCTAGGTCATAGGGTGCAGAAGAAGGGAGTATTGTGAAATCTGGAAACACAAGTGGGACCTAAAACATGAAGGGCTTTATGCCATAAAGAAGAGTTTGTATTTTAGGCCATATGCAATAAGGGTCCACTGAAGTTTCTTGGGGAAGGAAGTAACGTAGAACAGTGCTTTAGTAAAATATTGAAGGATGGAATTGAGAGGGGAGAAACTTGAAGCCAATTAGGGAGTGATCTAAGTGAGAAGTGATAAGAACCTGAACTAATGTGTCAGTTGTATAAATGAGAGAAAGAGGGAAAAGCAAGAGACATGAGGGAGATAAAAACGACAAGATTTGGCATCTGATTAGATTTGGGGAGAAAGGAAGAGTAGAGAATAACTCAGAGATTGCAAACGTAGGTAACTGGAAGAATGGTGGGGTCACCAGCAGAACTAGTAAAATTAGGAAGGGAGAGGATTTGGCAAATAAGACAATGAGTTCTATTTTAAACATGTTTAGTTTGAGATGCCTTTGGAACATTCAGGTGAAGATGTGCAGCAGGTGAGATGACTTCCTCCAGGACTGTTCAGCAGCAGATAAGGCTGATAACAGGAGTAAACCAGATTGGGGTTTAGAAAAGGATAAGTAATGATAAGCTATAGAGGGAAGAGAATACGGGGCAGAGAACAGCATAAAGTTGAACTGGCTAACTATAGAAACAAGATTTTGAAGAGAAAAGTGAGAGAGGCAAGGTAGGTATTCAAGTGGAAAGAGCGTCGGCTTTCAAATCAAAGGGTCTGTATTCAAAACTCTGTCTGTGATACTTTCTACCCATATGATATAGTCAGTTAACCTTCCTATACCTCGTCTGTAAATTAAAAGGGGTTGAACCAGATGGTCCCTGAATCTATAACTCTATGATTGTACTTTTCCTTTGTTAGCATATATTCCTAAATATCCAGGACAGTACCATGGACCCCACTGGTGCTCACTAATGATTTGTTGATAATGAGGATGTTCTGTTACACTCACTGAACCACAGTGGAACTAAGGAGAGCCCAACCAATAATTTTCAACATGACCAAGATGTTGTTGCAAGGGAAGGGAGAAGCTAAGATGTAAGGACAAGGACTTTGGAGGCAAGGGAATAAATAAGAAGACTAGATGAGGTTTTGTGTTTATTATATATAAATTGATAAGCAAATTCAGTTCAACTCTATTCAACAAACATTAAGTACTAAAATAAATTACAACTTGGCACCTAATATTCTTAAATCAACAGTTCAGCTATTTTTACAGCTGGACCACTGCCCCTCTTTTTAGAATCCTTCCTGAATTGTCTTCTGTGTTTCAGTTATTACCGCAAAAAATATGAGGCTGCCAGCAGGCCACTGTGGAAGTGCTACGATGCTGGTAGTAAAAAGAGGCGCAAGTCCAGGAGGGTGTCAGTTACTGAACAGGGAACCAGCACAGCTGCCTTTGCTGATGCCTCCCGCATTGCAATGGGCGAGAAGGATTTGGTGAAATTCCTGGAAGAGCTCAAGAGTAAGATGGATCACCTGTTCTTAACCAAGGGTTAAGGAAAGAATTTGTCCTAATGTTCAGATTCATAAAGAGTAGGCCCCAAGCCAAATTCCAATGGCAGGCCTCTTCCATTCAGAGAGTCTTCTGACATCACATGTCTTACAAGGACGTGACCTTGACTTGCAATCTTAATACCCCTGGAAGGAGACCCAGATTCTAGAGTACCAGAAGAATGTGGTAGACACTGAGTCTTCCTGCCATATCGGGGGAGGTGGATAGTGGTGCCTATAAGGTCTGTTTGATGTGGTTATTCTTTGCCTTCGATGATTGATACCAATCTCCTTACATTTGTTAGGATGCAGTCCCGCCTCTGACAGTCCGTATGCTAAAATACCCATCTTCCCACTGTTTCCAAATATGGATGGGACAGTTATGGGAAAGTCATTCAAAGATTTACAAAGGTTGGAGGTGCTGAGGAAAAGACAGCCTTTACATTTCTTCGAAGACTATTTTTTCCATAAAAAAAACTGGAAGGCACAGGTGAGAGAAAGGTTTTATCACATCAATTAAGTTAAAAGTGCAGTAGAATTGAGCACTAATGTTAGATGTTAGGACTCCCCATGACAAATATTTGGACCAAAATGGGACATGTCTAAATTTTGGCTTAGATAGAAATACTGTGGTGGTCTCTAGACAATATAGAATAGTTTGTTTTGTTTTGTTTTTTCACTAAACCTATTTACCTCTGCCTGTGGTTGTTTCCTTCTGCCAATGCCAATCTGCATCTGCTCTGCAACTTACAATCTGGAAAAGTTGCCTGGTGCTCAGACAAGTGAATTGGTTTACCTGGGTTACTTAGCCAGTATCTGTCAAAGGCAGGACTCGAATCCAGGTCTTCCTGATGCCAAGGCTGGTTCCCTATCCACTTTTACATCATTAAAATAAAATAATAATAAATAAAACAATAGCTCACATTTCTGTATAACTCTTTACAATTTATTTAATTTATTAAATTCTTGCTTTCATACCCACTATTTCATTCATTTCATTCATACCCACCATCACAACAATTCTGGAAGGCAATCAGGACTGAATATAGTTCAAACCCCTAAAAAAAGTTATCTTTGAAAGAGAAACATACAGGCATAATCTGGAAAAGAATTACACAGAATTACTGACTTGTTCATGGGCAACTAAGTGGTTCAGTGGATAGAGTTCTGGGCCTGAAGTCAAGAAGACTAATATTCCTGGCCTCAGACACTAACTATGTGACCCTGGGCAAGTCACTTAACCCTGTTTGCCCCAGTTTCCTCATTTGTAAAATGAGCTGGAGAAGGAAATGGCAAACCACTCCAGTGTCTTTGCCAAAAAAAAAACAAAAACCCAAATAGGGTCACGAAGAGTCAGATACAACTGAAACAAATCAACAATAACAACAATGACAACAACACTGATTTGTTTAGACAGCATTTTTTTTTCTAAAAAACAAGCCTCTGCCACACAGAAATGTAAGGATCATAAATTTTAGAAAGGATCTTAGAGGTCATTAAGTCTAACTCCCTCATTATCAGATGACGAAACTGAACCTAAAAGAGTTTAAATGACTCACAGAGCTAGGCAGTGTCTAAAGCAGGATTTAGCATCATTTTCCAGATTCTCCATCCACTGTGCTGCTTCACTGCCTTTAAGAGAAACAAATAAGGCCACAGAAGGGAAATTAAAGAGAACCCAAGAAATCTGAAAAATTTGGAATGCCTAGGAATGAGAACAAATTCTTTCCCGCACCTTCATACCACACTTTTCTCACTGCTTACATTCAACCCCCCAAACTCAGGCAAACCCAGACTCTCTGGAGACAGATGAATGGAAGGAAGGAAGGAAGAATGGAAAGAAGGATAGAGGGAGGGAGGGAAGAAGAATGGAAGGAAAAAAGGAAGGGAGGGAGGACTTATTGTAATTTTGTTCTTGTTATTACACATCCATTCTCAAAAGGACCAAGTAAGCACTTTACAAATGTAAATTATGTATTATGTAAACACTTTCAAATATTCGCTCATTTAATCCTCACAACAACCCTGGAAGATAGGTGCTATTATTATGATCCCCATTTTACAGATGAGGAAGATGATGCAGAGAGTGCTTAAGTGAGTTCCCGAGGATCAATATGGCTAAATGTGTGTGTGTGTACACATACATATATGTGTATATGTAGTATGTGTATATACACACATATATACATGTATGTGTGTGTATATATGTGTGTATGCACATATATAACATATATGATGACTAATGGTGAAATGTATGTGGATTTGAACGTAAATTTTACATGTATCTGTATATTATTCTCCTTCATGGTTATTGAAGAAGATTTAGAGGAAGTATGTTATAGTGAATTAGGGCCCTGGACTTGGAGTCAGGAAATCTTGGGCTCAAATCCTGCCTCAGACAGCTATAAGCTATGTGACCCATAGCAAGTCATTTAACCTCTCTGTGCCTCAGTTTCCTCATCTGTAAAATGAAAGGGTTGATACCTCTTAAGATACCTCCAGTTCTACAATCTGTGATCCTATGATTTATTAAGAACATATTTGTACACAATACTCCACTGGGCACTGAGAACTAATTGGCTCTGATGTGCTTAACGACAGTATAAGGTCTTTAAAAAAAGATAAAGGAAAAGGGAAGATCTATTTTCCTTTTATTGTAGCACTGGATTGTAATTTTGCTCACTAATTTATATACTCTGCTTATTTATTTGTTTATTTTTAAATAAAGGCTGCATCCTTTAAACCTTTAGAAAATTCAAACTGGCCAGAAGAGATTATCAATATTGATCACACGATCAAGAAAAAGCGGCAATGGAATGTAGCTGAAGCAGCCTGTCTACGGCAACAGGTAAGGAAAGATATCTTATCTACAGATAAGCAAGCACTGAAAAATTTCCTTACTTTTAAATACTGCCTCTGAAGCTCCCCAGAATTGTTTCTGATTCATACCAGTGGAAAAGAAAACACTAGTTCTTCTCTCAGTTTAGTCCCTTATGAGTAAACTATGTAAATGTTTCTTGTTATAGGAAAAAATTAGCTATAGGCTACTATTATAGTAGGGGCAGCTAGGTGGTACTGTAGATAGAGTGCTGAAGTCTGATGACTTCAGACACTTACTAGCAGTGTGACCCTGGACAAGTCACTTAACCCTGTTTACCTCATTTTCCTCATCTGTAAAACGGGCTGGAGAACGAAATGGCAAAACCACTTCATGATCTTTACCAAGAAAACCTCAAACAGGCCCACAAAGAGTTCAACATGACTGAAGCAACTAACAACAGCAAAAAACTATTATTATAAAGATTTTCACTTGCCAATTACTAGTGTAACCAGTATGATAATGACTGAAATCCAGGACTTTCTGAGGGCTAGCTGCTCCTGGTTTGAAATGTTACCCTTCTAATAAATTATGACTTTTAACTTCTTTTTTTTTTAAGAATTTTAAATTTAAAAAAAAGAATTTTAAACTTATTGTTGATGCCTTTTGTTTTAACACTATATTTATTTCTAGATATATATCTCCCCTTCCCCTATATAGGGATATTAAAAGGAAGAAAACAAAGTTGTTCAGCAAAACTATTCAACACATCAGCTATGTCTGACAATGTATGTGATACTCCATCTACATAATGCCCATCTCTGCAATGGAGAAAGATAACATTTTCTCAACTCTTCTACAGAACCAATCTTGTTTATTGTGATTATTCAGTTGTGCTTATCTTCTTGCATACTTAGGAAATCTGTTGACCTATGTCCAAGTCACTACAGAAATATCTGAAACACAGCTTTTTGCATCTCAGAAACCAACTGGGAATGAGGATAGGAGACTTACTGCTCTCCTCTGAAGGTTTTCTGTGCATTTTCTCCCTGAAGATTGCCCTTCCCTCCCTCTCCCACCCATATGCATTTAACCACATGCACATGTAGGTAAACACACACACACACACACACACACACACACACACACACACACACACA